GTATTTCACTTGACCCCTGCCACCCCATTTTGCTCCACGAGGCATTATTTCCCACATTCCACATTATCAGTCTTAGCACCACAAATTGTTTTTTATATCCGATGGTGCTTGACTGGCGATACCGGCGCCACGTCTGGGAATGTACCACGTCCACGGTGCAAATTTGGAAATTAGCATGCATATAATGGACCCCGGACTTGGTGCTTTCCTCTATGTCTTGCTGCCGATATGACCAAGTTGCGAAAACAAGGTCAAACAAATTCTATACAACGAAAGGAGACTGCGACCACACAAAAGGCCACCCCATTTTCGTCTTCATACCTTCGAGTATATTTGCATTTGTTGAAAAAATGTCAGCCCTATGCAGAAATAGAGCATTTGCTCACTCCTCTTGGCCATAGGGGTGGAATTATACTGCAGCATGAGTCGCATTGATACTGTAATTAGAAAGCATAAATTTAATTATTTCAGCCGCAAATGCTCGTGGATTTCGGACCGAGTACTTGTTTACTCAAATGGAAGGGCGCTTGATTAAACACGCACACGCATGCATACATACATGCATACCCAAACATATTCATGCTCAGATACATACATATTCTAGATGTCCCTATCTATCACAATCTCGACCTTATTGACGCGTGGTCAGAAGTCGCTTATATGTTGATGCAAATGTCGTACCGAATCGCATCTCCCGATGACTTTAAGCATGATGTCGAGACTTTAGCTTTCCTCTGGACAACCGACCAGCTGAATCTGGCCACTATCCCTTTGAGAACGATTTTTTCTAGTTAAGCATATAAAAATTATTATCAATATTGATAGTAATAATAGTAATAGTAATAGTAGTAGTTGTAGTTGTATCTTATACTCTTTTTTTATTCTTATTATTTTGTTAATATATTACCACAAGTGTTTTTTTTCCCACCGCTTGTGTTCAGTTTAAGCGAGGTGCAAGATTTGGTTGCCAAATCAAAACGAGCCTCTGAACTGGCACGAGAATACTCTCTGGAGACACGGGAGCTAGTCAAAGACATGTACCATGACTTCGAGCAACCTGGCATCCGTTACCTTGAGGACATGGTTTGCCTGATGCGTGTGACGAAACGCGGCAATCAGGTGTTTGAGTCAGCTCTACAGTCGGCGACTGATGTACTCAGTGGCAACACATCTGCCCTAACGACAACCACTGGCAAGGAGGGCCAACGAGAAAGCGCTGTCTGTGAAGACGACACGGGCCCAGATAGCGGAGCTCTGGAGCCGCTACCGTTTGGTCCAGGAGCCCGCCAAGGAGGGCGGGGCGGTCGGGGGGGCCAGGGGCTGGGGGGCAGTAACTCGGGCCAGCCGTTGTCGAGGGCCGGTTCATACAGAAAGAAGCGAAAAGAGGCGGCCAGACGACGAGAGAAACGTCGACAAGAACAGGCAGAAGCCTTAATGGCTTTGCAGGGAGGATCAATTGGGGAGGCTGACCTGCAACAGGTTAGAGATTTGTTTCGTTAATGTCTTCTATTACGTTGCTGGCTCAACTTCATACTCGAAGAAAAGTTGGGTTTCGAGGAGTCTCTGGTTTCATAATTGTTGAGCTTACTTCCATTTTAAGTGAAAGTGTTGGGTGAAGAGATTCGAAGGTCGATTGCACCAGAAGACGACGGCGGATTCCTCTTGACCAGCTATCGATTGGCTTTACTAAAGCATTCATGCTGACGCTGTTTCCA